CTTTCACCAGGAACATTTTGACAAAATGGAAGGTGAATTATGGGTGTCTGGGTGACCCAGCGCGGAACCGAGCCCGGCTGCGTTCCCCGCAAAGGGGAGCGCTTTAGTTTTACATGATGACCTTGGGTGTGGGAAAAGGAAAAGATGGCGGGAAGCTGGGGGGTGGGACAGGGACGATGACACGCCACAGCTGCATTTTTATTTGGAAACTTTGGAGAAAGTGTTCCTGGCTGGACATGCTTTCCACTTTACAAATGAGCAAGACTAGTCCTTTTGGTATCCCCTCCCCCTTTAGGTAATGACGAAGAGACAGATTTGAACTAATAGTACAAGGGTATCTGCTCACTTGCTAGATCATCGTTCTTGTAAAAGCCATTTTTTATGAGCCAAAACGCATCAACAATAGTGAAATTTCAAATGTTCCCTATTTACAGTTCTCCTGCTTTGATTTTGTGTTTAGCAGCGGTGACAGTATTTTTGTGTGTAACATAGGAGTTAAACAGATGACCAGTTAGCTTTAAGCCATTGATTTCAAGCTTCTATCATCTACCTGCACCCCCTACAAATGTGTCCTCCCCCCGCCCCTCGCCCTTCCCACTTTGTGGTTGTGGTTTCCAAAACGTAGTACTGAATAGGAATGTAGCGCTGAGCCACCCCACTTGGGTCTGCTCCATTTGGAGAACTTGATCACTCCTGGAGAAGTAACTTGCAAACCACCACGCTTCATGCTGGTCAAAAGTTAAATGACAAGTGACAGTGAAGCTGATTTCCTCCCAGTCTGTCTTTGGCTGCCAGTGGCATCAGGCATTTATTTATTTTGGGGGGGGCGGGGTGGGGGGAGGGGAGCTTCCTTAGGGCAACCTCAATTTTAATTTTGCCCTGCCTTTGGTGTAACTGGTAGTTCTGTTCTATTCATCGGGTTTATTTTTCTTTGTTTCTCTTGCTTCTATCCATCACAGTCAAGATGGCTAAAGGTGATCCCAAGAAACCAAAGGGCAAGATGTCTGCTTATGCCTTCTTTGTGCAGACGTGCAGAGAGGAACATAAGAAGAAGAATCCAGAGGTTCCTGTCAATTTTGCCGAATTTTCCAAGAAGTGCTCTGAGAGGTGGAAGGTACTTTTCTTTTGTATCCTTTAAGTTAGTCTTAGCTGGATTTCACACTTTGGGGCTACTTACCTTTAGAGTAGCAATCGCCACTTACTACAGGACAACTGAACAGGTATGTGTTCACTGCATTGAGGAATTTAACAGGTCCTGTTCTTTGCAGACAATGTCTGGGAAAGAGAAGTCTAAATTTGACGAGATGGCAAAGGCAGATAAAGTACGCTATGATCGAGAAATGAAGGATTATGGACCAGCTAAAGGAGGCAAGAAGAAGAAGGATCCTAATGCCCCCAAAAGGCCACCGTAAGTGACTATAGGATTCAGGACACTGTGAAGAGCTTTCCTTCTGTTTGAAAGAGGTTTGAAAAGACACTATTTAAAAAATGTCAGGATACTTCCGTGAAACATTCTGTACTTGGGGCTTTAAAATGCAATGCCATGGAAATCAGTAGTTAAGGCTGAGGTGCTTGTGAACTGTGTGCCCTCATGGTTGCCTGCTGGCCTTTTCACTGGGAAGAGGCAGCCTAGTTCTGGGTGTCAGCATCCTTAGGTATGTTCTCTACCCCTTGCCCAGCAGCTTAGAGACTGAGAAACCACCATATATTTCTGAAGCAGCTTAAACATTCTGTAACCTATTACTTTGTAACATTGTATATGGTATCACACATTTCTTCACTGTAGGGAGAGGAGTCATAGTGGTAAGAAGTATGTGGGCTCAGGAACATGGGATTCTGACTTAAGCTCTTGTTTTTGTGGGTTCTCATCTAATTTATGTAATTCTCTCCCCCTAGGTCTGGATTCTTTCTCTTCTGTTCAGAATTCCGCCCCAAGATCAAATCCACAAACCCCGGCATCTCTATCGGAGATGTGGCAAAGAAGCTGGGTGAGATGTGGAATAACTTAAGCGACAGTGAAAAGCAGCCTTACAACAATAAGGCGGCAAAGCTGAAGGAGAAATATGAGAAGGTGAGTTGGGCCGAGGCGTGCAGTCTGGACTGCAAGCATTCAGCTGCCCTGGGTATAGGGGATGGGGGCGTAAGGCTGCTTTGCTGGGCTGAGTAAAGCATAGCATGTGAGGGCCCATCTCCGTGCAAGATAAGCCATATGTGCTGGTGTTCAGGCTTCTAACATTTTTGTGTGTGTGTTTGAGAGAACTTCAGGCAGGCTTAAAAAATTTGGTAACATAGGATGCCATGGCACGGCATTTGATAGTGCTGTTAACACGAATTAAAAGCTACTTGAACACCCATTACCTTTTAAATTTGTTTCTGCAAACAAATACTCCAAATAGCAGCCCTGTCTTGTTTGAAATTCTTGCTTGCTTATTCTGAGGCAGGGACAGTATGTTTCTGCCTTTTACTAAAATAGTTGCAGGAGAGTTTGTCTCCTCATTTGGAATATGTCCCTGTTCCTTCCAGGATGTTGCTGACTATAAGTCTAAAGGAAAATTTGATGGCGCAAAGGGTCCTGCTAAAGTTGCCCGAAAAAAAGTCGAAGAGGAAGATGAAGAAGACGAGGAGGAAGAAGAGGAGGAGGAGGATGAGGAGGATGAGGAGGATGAATAAAAAACTGTTGATCTGTCTCCTTGTGAATACCTTAGAGTAGGGGAGCGCCGTAATCGACACAGCTCTTATTAGAGCCCTGTCTGTTGCCCTCATTAGGATTAATTACACAATTGGATCATGATCATATAGTAGTCTCTCAAAGTGCTCTAGAAATTGTCAGTGGTTTACATGAAGTGGCCATGGGTGTCTGGAGCACCCTGAAACTGTATCAAAGTTGTACATATTTCCAAACATTTTAAAAACAAAAAGGCTCTCGTGTTCTCCTCACTCTGTGCACTTTGCTATTGGTGTGACAAGGCATTTAAAGATGTTTCTGGCATTTTCTTTCTTTTTTTTTAATCTGTAAGGTGGTGTTAACTATATGGTTATTGGCTAGAAATCCTGAGTTCTCAACTGTACATATCTATAGTTTGTAAAAAGAACAAAACAACCGGGACAAGCTCTTGATGTTCCTTGCTTGGCGTTGAGGTGGTGGGGAAGATGCCTTTTGGAGGGGCCGTAGCTCAGGGCGTGCACTGTGAGGCTGGACCTGTGGACACTGCAGTGGGCATCCATTTGGCTTCAGGTTGTCTTGTTTTTGTATATAGTGACATAGCATTCTGCTGCCATTCTTAGCTGTGGAAAAGGGGGGTCAGCTGGCATGAGAAGTGTTTGGATCTTTTTTAGTTAAGTGTGGTAGTTTTAAACTGTTTGTTTTTAAACAAACTAGAACTCTTCATTGTCAGCAAAGTGAAGAGCCACTGCATCAATGAAAGTTCAAGAACCTTCTGTACTAAACACAATTTGCAACGTTTTGTTATTTTTTGTATGTTTAGAATGCTGAAATGTTTTTGAAGTTAAATAAACAGTATTACATTTTTTAAGCTGTTCTCTATTGTAACAGTCTAAATTTCTGACTCATAGCAGTCTTAGTGGCAAAACAACCCACTCCCATTATATTTGGTGACTAGCCTCCCTGTAAATCTGGCAGTTTATCTTAATGTGGCCAGCTTACTTAGGACGAGATGAAGAGGGCTACTTAAAGCTACTGCGTGATTTTGTGCTTGAATGGCATTAAGATCAAGTCTTAAATATCGACTGTAACAAGATAACTTGACACAGGCAAGGTTTAGCAGCCTTCACGGTGTAGGAAGTTGGGTGGTTAGATTGAGGCTGAGTACTATGTAGGTTTAATTTTTTTTTTGGCTTCCTACCCCATTCTGACACTGGGGCCAAATTCATTGCTAAAAGGCAAAAGCTGTCCTCTCGAGGGTATGTATGGTGTGTCGTATATTCAGGCTTCATCCCCTCTGATCCCAGTACATGTAGCAGAACATATGTTCAGCTCAACAATTGAGGTCATGAGCTGCTGCTGCTGTCTCCTGGACCCCAATGAGGGAGGTGGGGTAGGGAACAGTATCCAGTTCTCCTACTTCATGAAACCAAACAGCCCAACGAAGATTGCTGGGGCTCCTGTTGGCAGGCTCCATGTTGGGGCAGCTGAGCTGCAAGGCAGGCTGATGGAATCTATTGTTTCTAAGCACTAAATGTATCAATCAGATGGAAAGTTGAATGGCCTACCCAAGAATTGAGCTCATTGGAAATGCGGATTGTTAATGTTCTTAAACCGAAAGATTGGTTTGTGTTTCAGTGGTTATTTCATGTTGGTAGACGGTGTAACACTTTGGCCAAGTTGAGGTGAACGTTGATGGCCACCCCAAAATGGTGATATTAAATATAATTTTGATTGCTGATGTGTATGTACATCTTATAACTCTTGGCAGTAATGAAGGGTATTGTGTTGTGGGTGAGTGTTAATACTGCCCAGTATTGACACTCAGGTGTGTATGTTTGAGGCTGGGAACTACTCGGGAGTGTTTTAATGACATTACTTAGGAGAAAACAGCTTTTTCTTAAAGTTGACTATTTGGAACTGTGCATGTCTGCAGATGGTGTCCTCCCCACCCTGTCAGGTCCTGGATGGGTACAAGTCATGGTTATGGTCACACCGGCCTGATCTCTGATCTCTAATCTGTATTCATAGCCATTTCTTCTCATATCAGAACTGTTTGTCCTAAATGTTTTTCTAGTCCTAGAAAATGACCACTAATTAAAAAACCCTTGGTCCTGAGGTTTGCCTGAAGGCACTTGTTCCAGGATTGCCCCTCCTGCTTCAGCCATGCCCTTGTCACTTTCCTCTAGCCATCACTTGGCATTACAGGCTGAAGTTGCTGCTGCCGGACACACAATGTGCCATGTTAAGATTGGGGAGCTGTAGGCAACCTTCTCGAATATAGAAGAGAAGCCCAACTTGTCATTTTTCGGCTAAGTGGTGCCCCTCTATCTGGTTGTAACTAGGCAGGACAACTATGGAAGGGGATGACTTTCTTTTGTGCTCTCATAGCAGCTAAACAGAAGTGAGGAAGTGATCTTCGATTAAGCAGACTCAAGGCTACTTGGCCCATTAGCTGTTTTCAGCAAGACCACTGCTCTCCCTATCACGAGATGGCTACTCTTGAGGGAGTGAGGCTCTGTAGCTTCTCTGAGATGTGACAAGAGGCATGGTGTCACCACCTAAGGTTTAGGCTTAGCTTGATTTCTGGACCTACAGTAGGTGTTCTTGCAATGCCAACCTGTTACTTTTTAAAAAAAATCTAAGGGACAGTACCTGCTTTCCCTAACCACCTCTCCTCCAATCCCTTCACCCTGTTCTTGAATGGTGTTTTATCCTTTGGAAAGAACAAGGCTGTGATGTAGCAACTATGTCTGTGTCTTCTGTGTGTCTCTTGTCACAAATGTATTTGGGGACGTTGGATGCATTCATTTTCTGTAATAAAGTTTCTTAATCAGTCATCCCCAAAAGTAATTAGTGGGCTGTCTGCAATCTGTTTGAGATACTGAACCTCTGTATTTTGGATTGATTGTAATCAAGGTTTCACAAGTACAAGTTTTCCTATAACCACAGATCCGAACTAACATTGAATGGAAAGACGACATTAAAAAGGGCAAGTGTTAAGGACTCCAAAGCCCCTAGATCAACTCTTTAGCCAGAGGGTAGAGGGAGAGTTGGCTCTAGAGCTCTATGCTGGGATAAATAAGCAATTTGCAGGATGCTAATGAGCTGCTGTTGATAAAGTGGCTGAGTACTTGTAATCAGCCAGCCCTGCCAACCAGGGCTCCCTAAGCCCGAGGGTTGGGGGTTAGTTGGCTGACAGAGCCGGGCCCAACAAAGAGTTTGGGATGAGAGCCCTGGGGGCTGCTTGCTGTTTTTGGCCCCTGGCTTACTCTCCTGTGGAGCCCGAGGCTACTTGGGAGAGAATTGCTGGTGGGCCAGCTTGGCAGCCTTAGGCTTCCCTTCCTGCTTTAACCAGAGCAACCCCCCACCCTGTTTTGTATCTTACTCCTCCTAAGATTTCAACTTTAAAAAGAAGCTGGGACACCATATTGATAAAATAAAGAGAAAAAAAGCCCATATCATTTCAATGGGTACATTAAAAGTATTTGATTAGATCCAGTACCCTTTCATGATAATACTCAGAAAACAGACTGGAAGAAAGCTTTCTCAACCTGATAAAGAGCATATAAGAAAACCCACAGCTAATATACTCAATGAAAGACTGAATGCTTTCCCCTTAAGTTCAGGAAAAAGATAAGGATGGCCGCTTATGCCACTTTTGTTCATCATTGTGCTAGAAGTTCTACCAGGGCAACTAGGCAAGAAAAAGAAAACATCCAGACTGGAAATGAAGGAATAAAGTTATGTCTATTTGTGGATGAAATAATCTTGTATATACACAATCTTAAGGCATTTCTAAGTAAAACTGTCAAAACAAATAAATTCAGCAAAGTTGCAGGATACAAGATCAATATAGAAAAATTTGTTGTATTTCTGTATCATTCATTGTTAATGATTTGAAACTAAATTCATTTACAGTAGCATCAAAAAGAATAAATAAAATACTTGATAATAAGCTTAGCAAAAGTAGTGCAAAGCTTACATGAGGAAAACTATAAAATGTTGTTGAATAACATTAAAGACCTAAAGAAATAGAAAGACATGTTCATGAGTTGGAAGACAATATCGTTAAGATGGCAATACTTCCCAAATTGGTCTATATACATTCAATGTAATCCCTGCCAGAATCCCAGATGGCTCCTTTGTAGAAGCTGACAAGGCGATTCTGAATTGCATTTGAAAATCCGATGGACCCAGGATAGCCAGGACAATCTTGAAAAAGAACAAAGTTAGAGGACTCAGACTTCTCAATCTCAAAACTTACTACAAAGCTATACTAATCAAGAGTGTGGTACTGGCATAAGGACAGACATATAGACCAATGGAATAAAATTGAGAGTCCAGCAATAAACCTATATATCTATAGCCAATTGATTTTCAATAGGGGTACCAATATCATTTAATGGGAGAAAGAAGTATGTTAAATAATGTTCACATGCAAAGGAATGAATTTCAACACCACATACGAACAATTAAAAATGGATCAAAGACCCAAATGTAAGAGTTAAAACTATAAATCTCTTAGTAGGAAACATAACTGAAAACCTTTGTGACCTTGGATTGACAATGGTTTTTTAGGACACCTTTTGCATGAAGGAACTGAAGAAAAACAAATAAATTGAACTTAATCAAAATTTTAAAAATCTTTCGTGCCTCAAACAATACCACTAGGAAAGTGAGAAGACAACCTACAGAATGTGAGAAAATATTTGCAAATCATATCTCATAAGAATTTAATATTAAAAAAATATAAAGAACTATTACGACTCAGTGATAAAAAGACAACCCAGTTTAAAAAATGGGCAAAAATCTGAATAGACATTTCTCCAAATAAAGTGTACCAATAAGCACATGAAAAGATGCTCTGCATCATTAGCTATCAGGAAAATGCAAGTCAAAACTGTAATGAGATACCACTTCGCTCCCTCTAGCATGGCTATATAATAACATAAAAAGGAAAATAACTAGTGTTGGTGGGGATGTAGAGCAGTTGGAACCCTCGTACATTGCTGGTAGGAATGAATGTAAAATGGTGCAGTCTCTGTGGAAAGCAGTATGGTCCTTTAGTAAGTTAAACATAGGATATGAACATAGACTATGAGCCAGCAATTTCACGCCTAGGTATACACCAAAAGAATGGAAAACAGATATTCAAACAAATACCTGTACATGAATGTTCATAGCATTATTTGGAATAGTTAAAAAGTGGAAACAACTCAAATGTTCATCAAATGATAAATGTATAAAATGTAGCCTATCCGTACAATGCAATATTATTGAGCCATAATAAAGGAATGAAGTATGGGTACTACATAGATGAACCTTGAAAACAGTATGCTAAGAGAAAGAAACCAGTCAAAAAGGGGCACATATTGTATGATTCCATTTATATGAAATTTCTGACGCATGGGTACTACATAGATGAACCTTGAAAACAGTATGCTAAGAGAAAGAAACCAGTCAAAAAGGGGCACATATTGTATGATTCCATTTATATGAAATTTCTGACGCATGGGTACTACATAGATGAACCTTGAAAACAGTATGCTAAGAGAAAGAAACCAGTCAAAAAGGGGCACATATTGTATGATTCCATTTATATGAAATTTCTAGACTAAGCAAATCTATAGATACAGAAAGTAGATTAGTCGTTGCCTAGGCCTGGTGGTTGCCGGGTGGATGGGAAGTGGGGAGTGACTGCTAATAGGTCTGAGGTTTCTTTTTGGGAAAATAAAAATGTCCTAAAATTAGATATGATGGTTGTACAACTCTGAATATAGTAAAAATTGTATACTCGAAATGGGCGAATCCTATGGAATGTGAATTATATCTCCATAAAGCTGCTGAAAATAAATGGTGGGAAAAGTCTGACGTAGAGGGAAATGTTGAAGCACAGAAGGAGAATATTTAATTAATTGACAAAGGTCCCCTGGGCAGAGAAAGGGAATGGATCCAGAGCAACGTGAAGGAATTGACCTTTTACCGAAGATAAGACACTAGAGTTGTCAATGGGAAGTAATGGAGTGCCCATCTGGCAATTTTATTTCTTTGTGAAATTTATGGTGGGGGGTGGAGCAGAAAGGAAGGGTGGAGTTTAAAGCCAGTCCGATGGGACTACATCAAACTAAAAAGCTTCCGCTCAGCAAAAGAAATCGTCAACAAGGTAAAGAGACAACCATCCGAATGGGAAAGTATATTTGCAATCAATGCCTCCAATAAGGGCCTAATTATCCCAAATATACAGAGAATTCATACAACTCAATAACAACAAAAAAACAAACGATCCAATCAAAAAATGGGCAGAGGACCTGAACAGACACTTCTCCCTAGTGGAGATATAAATGACCAACAAATATATGAAAAGATGTTCAACATCGCTAGCTATTAGGGAAATGCAAATCAAAACCACAATGAGATACCACCTCACACCTGTTAGAACAGCTATAATCAGCAGAACAATTAATAACAG